CCCCCCCCCCCCCCCAAAAAAAAATATCCGCTATGATTAAACATGTAATCATTAAGAGAGCGGGGGGGAGGACCATATCTTTTAAATTATTATATAATAAGAAAATAAGCAACTTACGTTTAGGACAAAGGTTACACGTCTTCTTGCAGTATTTGCTGACAAACTCTTTATAAGAGTTGTGTTTACAGTAAGGCTTGTAAATCGAGCAATCATGGTAGCCATCTTTGCAAGGTGCTGAGAGAAATATAACGAATTCAAGCAGGAATGAATGCATATAACGATGGAAGCTATACCAGAGTTGTCAATAATTAGTGCATTTTGATTGTCATGATGCGTTACGAGGATAGCACTTCAGAGAAACAGGTTTGGGCGACTGCTACTTTTTTCCTGATCATCAGCAGAGAACAAGAAAGCGAGCGAAAGAACACATAGCTTATATCCCAAGTTAATCATAAATTTAGAAGCATTCTATCAGGATGCCGTTTAATTCTCTTATCCTCTCACTAGTAATTCTCGATTTTTTGCGTTTTCAAAGTGTCAGTGAAGAGGATTTAGATAAAGTTTTCAATGACTAGTAGCCTTCCTAGTAGATTTATACTAAAACAATTAGATCCGATTTTCTCTCGATTTCTAGGCGTGAATGCTGCGTCCTCGTCAACAACCTCGTTCCGAGGGTCTCTCGCTCTGGGAGGGCGGGAAGATGAGAGACCCTGGAAACGAGGTTGCCTCATCAACTGTCATGTGATAGACATCTCGAGCTCCTAACCTTATTGATAACTATATCGAAAGAACCTTAAATCATTATGCGAAATACAAGAAAAACTCTTATTAGATGATAATAAACATACTACACTGGTCAGTTTATATCACTGCAGTACATCATAGTATATTCAGTTCGTTTCTTGTGTTTTGGCTCGTCACGATAACATACGCTTGCTTTCAAAGATACGGTGCAACCAGGAAAATATACTTAGACTAGGTTTACACTAGACGAAATTGTTCCGGATTCGTGATGAGTCCGGAACGTTTTAGTACCGGATTGATTTAGCCGTTTACACAAAAGTGGACGAATCCGAAATAAAAACTCTCCGGTTTGGACGTGTCTCCGGAGATTTTGAATCCGGAATTTAAAGTGGGAGCTTTGAATCCGAAAACTCTTGATCCGGAGAGTTTTGTCTGCGATCTTTTGAGTTTGCGGAGGAACGAAAATGGCGGATTACATGATCCAGTCGTAGTCGAGTCGTAGGCACATTCATGGCCATTTGATGGTGATCGCTGGCTGATTACCTCGTGCTGTTAAAGGTGTAGGCAATCACTTTTATAATGGGTAATGCCATAATCATCAGAAATCCAATTTATCGACGCAATCGATATCGACGCCTTCCATACCTACATACTTTACTGCGCAGATGACGACGATGGCACGATCGAAAACCTCGACGGTTCTAGATATTAAATAAAGACCAGAATAAATGCCTGGAGGGACATGACACGATGAACAACAGTACCGTGGTCAGCTAGTGGAAAGAAAACTTCAGACTGTCTCAACCTTCCCCTAGCCGGTCCTAGCCTTGTTTTCACAGGCATTTTGTTTCTCGTTGTCGACTTTTTAACCTTTCCATCATGAATGTTCTCGGAGTTATCGTCGTGCGTAAACGGTAAGGAATCCGAATATCCTTTCAGTGTAAACCCCTACTAATCCGACTACTCTAATATTGATGAATCCGGAAACTTTTACGAATCCGAAAAAATCTTCTCTAGTGTAAACCTAGTCTTAATTGTTCTTACAATCAATCGTCAAGGCCCCGTCCACACTCGCCAGAGGAATTTGAAAACGGAGGTTTTACCCTTGAAACGCCTTAAATGCTTTCCGTCCACACTACGCTGGAGGAATTTAAAAACGCAACAATCACCGGTCATTCTGGCTTTGTGTTTGAGGAAAACTCGGTCAGGGAAATCACACGATTATCGAACGCCATCGTTTTCGAAAAGCTCCGTTCAAAACGTTCTCCGTCCACACTAAAACGCAAAGCCGGCGTTTTGAAATTCCTCCGGTTTGAAGAGCGTTTTCGGAAAGCTTCGTTTTCGTAACGGATTAGTGTGGACGGTAGACCTAACAGAAGGAATTTGAATACGCTGGCTTTTCCTTTTCGTGTGGACGGAAAACATTATGAAAACGGATCCTTCTCGAAAACAAGGGCGTCACGACAATCAGGTGATTTTCCTGACCGAGTTTTCCTCAAGCACAAATCCAAACTGACCGGTGATTGTTGCGTTTATAAATTCCTTCTGCGTAGTGTGGACGGAAACATTTGATACGTTCTCGAAGTGAAACCTTCGTTTTCAAATTCCTCCGTTATAGTGTAGACGGGAATTAAATTTTCTTTGGTGGTTCATGGCGTCAGTTAGACCACGGCTAGTCCCTCTCTCGCCAAGTCCGTCTTGCGTGACGCGAAAGAAAACCGCGCAAAAAAAACAAAAAAAATGGCGGCGCGACATCGTGGGGGTGAGATGTACTCGTATTCTGGGCATCAGTCACGTTCATGATATTGACAAAACCACGCCTGTTACTACGGTTACCTTACTCAGTCTATATAAAACAGAATACTCCATTACAAACCTGCTCTTTTGTTTCTGACTTTATACTCTTCAACTGACTTCAATGCTTCTGAAACGTGTAAACATTAATTTAGTAAATAAACTAGACTCTAAATTAAAATGCTTGCTACGTAAACAATTTTTACGGTAAAGTACACAAAGTGACTATTTCAAAGTTAATATTTTAAAGTATGATTTCATCAATAACCTTTTTAATTTTTAGCAAAGAAGGTGACAGCTTTCTTCAAGTCTTCTACAATACCCCATATTGTTTCGAATATCTGATACAAGTTTCAGACATCCACGTCCACGCAATAAAGGAAAACTTAGAAGCCGAATTTGAATAAATTTTAACTTAAAATATACTCGTTACTATGTGAACAAAAGATTAACAATTTTGGCTGGAAAGTATTCATCTCTAAATGTGTCAGTAAATCGTTTTGTCAATGGTCGTTGGGTTGACAATGGAGAATCTCAGCACAAAACAAGAAAAAAACTTCTGGTCTAGAGCTCGCTATTTTAAAACAAGCACGATAAAAAGGACCAATTGTTTGTTGCGAATTTTTTCACGCCAAACAATTTCTAAGACTTCAAGAGGTCCCGACTTTCCCTGGCAGAATTTATCGATTTGTATAATGGTGTAATGAACTGTTTCACTCGCTTGCGAGTCTATGCAAAGAAAGAAACGGTTGTGTTCTGTTGTACTGGTACACAGAGGGAATAACCATTGTACCCCTTTCTTTACGAGCCTTTGTTTAGCTGTGTTGTATATTGATGGGTCTTTTGTATCGGTTATTATGGACCAGTACACGAGGACAGGCCCAGAAAAAAACAACAAAAAGTTGGCGTAATTATTCAGTAAGTGAGCTACGCCACAAAACATACCTTGTAATTTGTCCTTTGCTTGTTGTTCTTCCTCACCATGGCAAAATTCACTCCGGCAAATGAGCAAAATCAGTGCAAAACGGACAAAATGTGCGACAAACATTTTGCTCTTGTGCGGCTGGTCAAATGATAACAGTTAGTTGTGGAAGAACGAAACGGCATGTAAGTCGTATAATATAATATACTTTTGTGCAGCTCGAAAAAATCGCAGCTTTGCAAATACAGGCGTGCAAGCGTGGAATGGTGGGGTTGTTGAAAAATTAAAGGCAAACACCGTGAAGATTATGCGAAAAGAGCGGTCATTGGGAATTCAAAATTTAACACAAGTACCTCTGAGTTTTGTTGTGTTCTCGGTCCTGGCAATGCTTTTCCGTCCATGTAATTTTGGAGTCAAAAGCTTTTTGCAGTCATTCAGTTCTCAAGTTGTAAGGTTTCTACATTGAATAGCTCCTGGAAAGAATTCGGGTCCCTGATATTAGTTAGGACAAATGCGTCCTGTTTAACGAACAACACCCCCCATACACAATTGCTTAAAACCGTACCGCATCGGTTCTTTCAAACCTTTGTTTAACTAACAAAAGAACTCGATGGCTGTAAAGAGAAAAATTAACAGAACAATGAAGTAAATAGTCCCACCGTTTATCTTTCCAAAATTCATACGAAAGCTTGCTAGCTGTGTTCATGAAAACTCTGATCTATGTCTTTTAAAATCATTACCATAACAAAATTTTCTCAAAAAATGTTGATCAGACAAAAATTATGCCTATAGTTCCTTTTTTTTTTTTTAATTTTAACGGTCATTTTGTAGTATACGTGGCCCGGAAATTGTTAAACAAACAAGAAAAATGCTCCAGTTTGTTCAAACATAATTTCAAATATTTAGGAAACTAAAACAACTTTACCTCTCCCAGTCAATCAGCCGGCCTCAATATTTGAACATTTTCAAAGAATTAAACCGAGTTCAATTCAACTGATCTTTTTAACTTCTTTTTGTTCTTCATAAATTTCATTGTAATGTTAGTTGCGTAAAAAATGCCAGGCATCTAACTTGCCAATCTTCGATTTCATCTTCTCCAGGGCCATTAATTTAGCAGTCATATATCCATGTGGAAATTGTTTACAAAGTTTGACAGGCAGGTAAATTGATGACAAACACTGACCATCCACAAAACAAGCAATACCAACTTCACAGTTCATGTAGCGTATGCCAGGATCATATGTCCCGGATAAATTTGAAAACGCAGCTTTATTTCTACTGTTAGGCCTAGCCTGCGGTCCACACTAATCCTTCGCGAAAACGGAGCTTTTCGAAAACGCTCGTCAAACCGGAGAAATTTGAAAAAGCCAACTTTTCGTTTTCATGTTGACGGAAATCATTTTGAAAACGGAGTTTTTCGAAAACGATGACGTCACGATAATCATGTGATTTCCCTGTATCCAAAATGACCGGTCATGGTAGTCTCGATTTTCCCCGCTCTCTCGCGTCCGGTCTTTGTTCCTCCCCGAGAGCGCGGGCGCGTTTCCCGAACAACGCCTAGCCATTGTTGCATTTACAAAATTTTCCGGCGTAGTGTGAACGTAAAACACTGATTTGGTGAGTTTTCAGAGTGAAACCTGGGTTTTCAAATTCCTCGCGCTATTTACACAATTGGTGCAACGTTAGGAATCTCAGGATCTCGATGGACAAGTATATAGTATAAGTTTTGTTTTTTCCACTGATATGTTTCAGGATTAGTTAGTTTTAGCAAACCATTACTGCCTGGTACTAATATTAACATGGTTTTGTTAAATTGTGTTTATCGGGCATATCAGAGAGTCAAACGAATATTAAAATATAACTCATTTTGTAGAAAATGTTCAATATATATCCTTTTACCTCTCCTCCCTTTAAGCCTCGTCCACACTACGCCATAGAAATTTGAAAACGAAGCTTTCGCTCCGAAATTAAACGCATCAAGTGTTTTCCGTTCACACTAATTCGGAGAAATTTAAAAACACAACCGTGATCACCGATCATTTTGGATTTGTGTTTGAGGAAATCTTGGGAAGGAAAACCATAATTATCGTTAAGTCTTCGTTTTCGAAAAGCTCTGTTTTCAAACGGTTTTCCGTCCACACTGAAAACACCAAGCCGGCCTTTTGAGATTCCCCCGGTACGGTTTGAGGAGCGTTTCGAAAAGCTTCTTTTCTTGGTCCGGATTAGTGTGGAGCGTAGGCGTAATCGTAGAAATAAAGCTGCGTTTTCAAATTTCCCTGGCGTAGTGTGGAGTTGCCTAACTGTACGATGAGCAGTAAGGAGAGAACTCTTTTTTTAAAATTCTAAGAAAAACTTCGGGCTACGAAAGGTGAAAAAAAGGATAAACATGACCCCACGACGCCACTGGTTATTCACAAAGAAATGAGAGATTTAATTTTCGTTCAATTTGACACAGTTAAGGCTTCCCAGATCATCAATGTTGAGTGAATGCTGCAGTATTAGGCTACGAAAACGGGGAAACCATTAACCTTCAACAACAAATAAACATGCAAGAAATTTGTAATTTTTGTTGACAACGTAAAACATCTAAAATATACGTTGGCTAGCCAATTCTGTTCTAAACTTTGTACCGTTTTTATTACGTTGTAATATTCCCTTGATAGGTTTTTCATTCTAAATTTTATTCTCATCCTTTTCTACTCCAGCATTTAATGTTGTGTAAATTTTGTATTACACACTTTGCTTCTAGAGAAGGAAATGACAAAACAGAGCAGTTGGAACTAATCGGTATTTTGCCGTTTGTCCCATCAAATGCATACAGTAAAAGTTTCACAACCTCTTGTTATTGTACTACAAATAAGTCCGTGCAGAAAAATAGCATTTCCAGGTCTCAGTTTTATAATACGCTAGCCTGCAGAAACGGAATGGCGGGGTAGAGAGCGAAATGCGATACACGAGCGCGGAACGCGATCACGAGCGCGAAGCGTTTTTCGTCTCGCGCTTCGCGCTCGTGTATCGCGTCTCGCTCACTGCCCCGCTAATCCGTCTGTTCTGCAGGCTACAATACGCTTACGAAGATATAATGTTTTTAAGGTACAACAGAAAATTGTTTTCTATCAAGAAGAAACCGTTTTTCGTCTTACTTCAGGCCAGCAATTTTGGTCCAGCCTTACGAAACGCGATCAAATACAGCACATGAATCTGGTTCGGATCCTATATTTACAGTTGCACTATCTATTTAAGCAATAGATTATTTTTTTCCGCATTTACATGGCCTCTTCCATACACGATGGGGAGGGGGAGGGGGCGGAGTTTAGGAGAATTCGAGACAGTTATTCAAACCAGAGACGCAGTCGAGAGTTTGGATAACTTTCGAGAATTCTCCCAACCACCCGAGTGTTTAGATGAAGCTATGTAAAAGCGGAAAATAGTCCTCTACTGCTTTTATCAAATATTTCTCTAAACTACACGCGAATCTAAAACGTCACAACCGTGTTTACATACTTTCATACAGACACACCTATCGGCCAATGAGAGAGCGCGTAGTAGCTCAGTTATTCTATGAAATAAAATGGCATTATTTGCCTGTTATAGGGTTCGGTTTAGTTCAAGGACATCTGTATCTCTCCACTTAATTAAAGTACAGTAGAAGACCTATTTTTGGAAACAATGGAAACTGGTTCGAAAAAAATCGGAAGGTTCGAATTTTCACCCTATGTTGTTGTCGTTGTTGTTGTTGGTTTGCCAAAGGAGCAAAAAGTTACTTCGAATAATAGAAAGGTTCGAAACAATAAGAGCTCCAATTCACGGGATTCCATTATTCAATTGTACCTTGGAACTAGTGGTTGACAGAGGAAATTTCTTTGTGTTTAAGTTTTTGTTTGCTTGTTCGTTTGCTTGTTTTGGTTTTGCTTTTCATAAAATCCTATCAAAATACTATTATTTTGAGATTGTTTTAATATGAAGATATCGATGAAATAAAAGTTAATCTATCTTTTATTTAATTTCATTACTCTAACGATCTGTATATATAAAAATACTACTTGATCTATGGCAAAACAGGCCGAACATAGTATTTCATCCTCTAAGTGAACAAAACAATTGATTTAGTAACCGTAATACTTAATATACACGAAGCATTTAAGTTTATGGATAGCAAAGTACAGCAACTGAAATAAAGGCTGTCCAATTATTAGAATGAGAAATACCATTGCAGAAGAAAATGGATCATGGATCCTATTTACAAATCGAGGCAGGTCATCAGGCGCATTGTTAGGATCAGTAATTATGAAGTAAAATAAAACAACAACAAGGACGTATGCTAGCGTAAAAATGTATGAATAAACAACATGCAGCAACCTGATTGGTGCGAAGCTGAATATTGCCTCAATGATCATGAAGGCAGTGAATGTAAAGTACATGGCAAGGACTAAAGAGTTCAATTGCCCCTCCAGAACCAGGTAGCAAAATGAGACCACCANTCACGTTCATGATATTGACAAAACCACGCCTGTTACTACGGTTACCTTACTCAGTCTATATAAAACAGAATACTCCATTACAAACCTGCTCTTTTGTTTCTGACTTTATACTCTTCAACTGACTTCAATGCTTCTGAAACGTGTAAACATTAATTTAGTAAATAAACTAGACTCTAAATTAAAATGCTTGCTACGTAAACAATTTTTACGGTAAAGTACACAAAGTGACTATTTCAAAGTTAATATTTTAAAGTATGATTTCATCAATAACCTTTTTAATTTTTAGCAAAGAAGGTGACAGCTTTCTTCAAGTCTTCTACAATACCCCATATTGTTTCGAATATCTGATACAAGTTTCAGACATCCACGTCCACGCAATAAAGGAAAACTTAGAAGCCGAATTTGAATAAATTTTAACTTAAAATATACTCGTTACTATGTGAACAAAAGATTAACAATTTTGGCTGGAAAGTATTCATCTCTAAATGTGTCAGTAAATCGTTTTGTCAATGGTCGTTGGGTTGACAATGGAGAATCTCAGCACAAAACAAGAAAAAAACTTCTGGTCTAGAGCTCGCTATTTTAAAACAAGCACGATAAAAAGGACCAATTGTTTGTTGCGAATTTTTTCACGCCAAACAATTTCTAAGACTTCAAGAGGTCCCGACTTTCCCTGGCAGAATTTATCGATTTGTATAATGGTGTAATGAACTGTTTCACTCGCTTGCGAGTCTATGCAAAGAAAGAAACGGTTGTGTTCTGTTGTACTGGTACACAGAGGGAATAACCATTGTACCCCTTTCTTTACGAGCCTTTGTTTAGCTGTGTTGTATATTGATGGGTCTTTTGTATCGGTTATTATGGACCAGTACACGAGGACAGGCCCAGAAAAAAACAACAAAAAGTTGGCGTAATTATTCAGTAAGTGAGCTACGCCACAAAACATACCTTGTAATTTGTCCTTTGCTTGTTGTTCTTCCTCACCATGGCAAAATTCACTCCGGCAAATGAGCAAAATCAGTGCAAAACGGACAAAATGTGCGACAAACATTTTGCTCTTGTGCGGCTGGTCAAATGATAACAGTTAGTTGTGGAAGAACGAAACGGCATGTAAGTCGTATAATATAATATACTTTTGTGCAGCTCGAAAAAATCGCAGCTTTGCAAATACAGGCGTGCAAGCGTGGAATGGTGGGGTTGTTGAAAAATTAAAGGCAAACACCGTGAAGATTATGCGAAAAGAGCGGTCATTGGGAATTCAAAATTTAACACAAGTACCTCTGAGTTTTGTTGTGTTCTCGGTCCTGGCAATGCTTTTCCGTCCATGTAATTTTGGAGTCAAAAGCTTTTTGCAGTCATTCAGTTCTCAAGTTGTAAGGTTTCTACATTGAATAGCTCCTGGAAAGAATTCGGGTCCCTGATATTAGTTAGGACAAATGCGTCCTGTTTAACGAACAACACCCCCCATACACAATTGCTTAAAACCGTACCGCATCGGTTCTTTCAAACCTTTGTTTAACTAACAAAAGAACTCGATGGCTGTAAAGAGAAAAATTAACAGAACAATGAAGTAAATAGTCCCACCGTTTATCTTTCCAAAATTCATACGAAAGCTTGCTAGCTGTGTTCATGAAAACTCTGATCTATGTCTTTTAAAATCATTACCATAACAAAATTTTCTCAAAAAATGTTGATCAGACAAAAATTATGCCTATAGTTCCTTTTTTTTTTTTAATTTTAACGGTCATTTTGTAGTATATGTGGCCCGGAAATTGTTAAACAAACAAGAAAAATGCTCCAGTTTGTTCAAACATAATTTCAAATATTTAGGAAACTAAAACAACTTTACCTCTCCCAGTCAATCAGCCGGCCTCAATATTTGAACATTTTCAAAGAATTAAACCGAGTTCAATTCAACTGATCTTTTTAACTTCTTTTTGTTCTTCATAAATTTCATTGTAATGTTAGTTGCGTAAAAAATGCCAGGCATCTAACTTGCCAATCTTCGATTTCATCTTCTCCAGGGCCATTAATTTAGCAGTCATATATCCATGTGGAAATTGTTTACAAAGTTTGACAGGCAGGTAAATTGATGACAAACACTGACCATCCACAAAACAAGCAATACCAACTTCACAGTTCATGTAGCGTATGCCAGGATCATATGTCCCGGATAAATTTGAAAACGCAGCTTTATTTCTACTGTTAGGCCTAGCCTGCGGTCCACACTAATCCTTCGCGAAAACGGAGCTTTTCGAAAACGCTCGTCAAACCGGAGAAATTTGAAAAAGCCAACTTTTCGTTTTCATGTTGACGGAAATCATTTTGAAAACGGAGTTTTTCGAAAACGATGACGTCACGATAATCATGTGATTTCCCTGTATCCAAAATGACCGGTCATGGTAGTCTCGATTTTCCCCGCTCTCTCGCGTCCGGTCTTTGTTCCTCCCCGAGAGCGCGGGCGCGTTTCCCGAACAACGCCTAGCCATTGTTGCATTTACAAAATTTTCCGGCGTAGTGTGAACGTAAAACACTGATTTGGTGAGTTTTCAGAGTGAAACCTGGGTTTTCAAATTCCTCGCGCTATTTACACAATTGGTGCAACGTTAGGAATCTCAGGATCTCGATGGACAAGTATATAGTATAAGTTTTGTTTTTTCCACTGATATGTTTCAGGATTAGTTAGTTTTAGCAAACCATTACTGCCTGGTACTAATATTAACATGGTTTTGTTAAATTGTGTTTATCGGGCATATCAGAGAGTCAAACGAATATTAAAATATAACTCATTTTGTAGAAAATGTTCAATATATATCCTTTTACCTCTCCTCCCTTTAAGCCTCGTCCACACTACGCCATAGAAATTTGAAAACGAAGCTTTCGCTCCGAAATTAAACGCATCAAGTGTTTTCCGTTCACACTAATTCGGAGAAATTTAAAAACACAACCGTGATCACCGATCATTTTGGATTTGTGTTTGAGGAAATCTTGGGAAGGAAAACCATAATTATCGTTAAGTCTTCGTTTTCGAAAAGCTCTGTTTTCAAACGGTTTTCCGTCCACACTGAAAACACCAAGCCGGCCTTTTGAGATTCCCCCGGTACGGTTTGAGGAGCGTTTCGAAAAGCTTCTTTTCTTGGTCCGGATTAGTGTGGAGCGTAGGCGTAATCGTAGAAATAAAGCTGCGTTTTCAAATTTCCCTGGCGTAGTGTGGAGTTGCCTAACTGTACGATGAGCAGTAAGGAGAGAACTCTTTTTTTAAAATTCTAAGAAAAACTTCGGGCTACGAAAGGTGAAAAAAAGGATAAACATGACCCCACGACGCCACTGGTTATTCACAAAGAAATGAGAGATTTAATTTTCGTTCAATTTGACACAGTTAAGGCTTCCCAGATCATCAATGTTGAGTGAATGCTGCAGTATTAGGCTACGAAAACGGGGAAACCATTAACCTTCAACAACAAATAAACATGCAAGAAATTTGTAATTTTTGTTGACAACGTAAAACATCTAAAATATACGTTGGCTAGCCAATTCTGTTCTAAACTTTGTACCGTTTTTATTACGTTGTAATATTCCCTTGATAGGTTTTTCATTCTAAATTTTATTCTCATCCTTTTCTACTCCAGCATTTAATGTTGTGTAAATTTTGTATTACACACTTTGCTTCTAGAGAAGGAAATGACAAAACAGAGCAGTTGGAACTAATCGGTATTTTGCCGTTTGTCCCATCAAATGCATACAGTAAAAGTTTCACAACCTCTTGTTATTGTACTACAAATAAGTCCGTGCAGAAAAATAGCATTTCCAGGTCTCAGTTTTATAATACGCTAGCCTGCAGAAACGGAATGGCGGGGTAGAGAGCGAAATGCGATACACGAGCGCGGAACGCGATCACGAGCGCGAAGCGTTTTTCGTCTCGCGCTTCGCGCTCGTGTATCGCGTCTCGCTCACTGCCCCGCTAATCCGTCTGTTCTGCAGGCTACAATACGCTTACGAAGATATAATGTTTTTAAGGTACAACAGAAAATTGTTTTCTATCAAGAAGAAACCGTTTTTCGTCTTACTTCAGGCCAGCAATTTTGGTCCAGCCTTACGAAACGCGATCAAATACAGCACATGAATCTGGTTCGGATCCTATATTTACAGTTGCACTATCTATTTAAGCAATAGATTATTTTTTTCCGCATTTACATGGCCTCTTCCATACACGATGGGGAGGGGGAGGGGGCGGAGTTTAGGAGAATTCGAGACAGTTATTCAAACCAGAGACGCAGTCGAGAGTTTGGATAACTTTCGAGAATTCTCCCAACCACCCGAGTGTTTAGATGAAGCTATGTAAAAGCGGAAAATAGTCCTCTACTGCTTTTATCAAATATTTCTCTAAACTACACGCGAATCTAAAACGTCACAACCGTGTTTACATACTTTCATACAGACACACCTATCGGCCAATGAGAGAGCGCGTAGTAGCTCAGTTATTCTATGAAATAAAATGGCATTATTTGCCTGTTATAGGGTTCGGTTTAGTTCAAGGACATCTGTATCTCTCCACTTAATTAAAGTACAGTAGAAGACCTATTTTTGGAAACAATGGAAACTGGTTCGAAAAAAATCGGAAGGTTCGAATTTTCACCCTATGTTGTTGTCGTTGTTGTTGTTGGTTTGCCAAAGGAGCAAAAAGTTACTTCGAATAATAGAAAGGTTCGAAACAATAAGAGCTCCAATTCACGGGATTCCATTATTCAATTGTACCTTGGAACTAGTGGTTGACAGAGGAAATTTCTTTGTGTTTAAGTTTTTGTTTGCTTGTTCGTTTGCTTGTTTTGGTTTTGCTTTTCATAAAATCCTATCAAAATACTATTATTTTGAGATTGTTTTAATATGAAGATATCGATGAAATAAAAGTTAATCTATCTTTTATTTAATTTCATTACTCTAACGATCTGTATATATAAAAATACTACTTGATCTATGGCAAAACAGGCCGAACATAGTATTTCATCCTCTAAGTGAACAAAACAATTGATTTAGTAACCGTAATACTTAATATACACGAAGCATTTAAGTTTATGGATAGCAAAGTACAGCAACTGAAATAAAGGCTGTCCAATTATTAGAATGAGAAATACCATTGCAGAAGAAAATGGATCATGGATCCTATTTACAAATCGAGGCAGGTCATCAGGCGCATTGTTAGGATCAGTAATTATGAAGTAAAATAAAACAACAACAAGGACGTATGCTAGCGTAAAAATGTATGAATAAACAACATGCAGCAACCTGATTGGTGCGAAGCTGAATATTGCCTCAATGATCATGAAGGCAGTGAATGTAAAGTACATGGCAAGGACTAAAGAGTTCAATTGCCCCTCCAGAACCAGGTAGCAAAATGAGACCACCAATATGCTATTTCCCGCCATGGTTTGCAAAAGCCACACTACTTTGTGGTAACAGGGAAGTTTGTCTTCGTGATAATCTACCTGGTGTGACTCTCCATCTTCGCTTGCCGCCCAAAGCAGGTCTGTTTCGCTTGCACCCAGTTCCTCCTCTGCCAAGTGGCTCTTTTCCGTGTGGTGCTCGTGTTTCGCTTTCTCCTCCTCTTCTCTTCTTTTGTCATCTTTCCAAGTTTTAATTGTGTGGTAAACGAGGAGTAGAGTGGAAAGGACGAAATACAGACAAACTGCGGAAATACTCCAGTTGTCCAACTGCAACAGCCACAGATAACTGGGAGTGCTGAGAATACTTTCCATTGTGAAGATCACACAGCATGACGTCAACACGAGACGGTAAATGATGAATAACGCCGGTGGGAACCACTGAAACGGGATTGAATTGAAAAAAATTGTCTCTCATTTGAAGTCATGCGTGGGAAAAACTAAGATATTAACGGACAACATTTTTAATCTCAGTTATTCCCCACTCTCAATTCTGCGATAAAAGAAAAACGATTGAAATTCGGGTTGAAATTTTCATGCAATGACGCACATGTAGCACAAAGGAGATTTCTTATTGGTTACCGTGATCGCTCGCGCGAGGACAAGAAGTCGCACGCAGTGACAAAAAACCAATCAGATCTTTGAAGGATCGATGTACAAAATAAACTCCAGAAGTTACCCCTGGGCAATGATTGTACTTCAATGTACTCTACGCCTTAGCTGTTTTGCAATTACGAGACTCAGTAGCTGTCTTCTCAGTTCATTGAAGCCGATGTTCGCAGAAAGAAAAGTAAAGAAAAACATGACAACAACTCAAAAACTTGAGTGTTTTCAAAATAGCACAGATATTGCAGCCCAATGGGATTCCCGATAGTCTCTAAATCATGACAACTAAATTCCAATTAAAACACTATTTCGTTCTTTAGTAACAATGATGGGAAAATAGACTTAAACTGAGCACCTAATATAGGCAAGAAAAAAGCTTTCGCACAGGAACATAGGGTTACATCGCTACATGTACAGCCGGTCACAGGAAGGAAGTGGCAAGCGGCTATTTCAAGAGCGATGGCCAAGTGCTTTTTCAAACTCCAGAATTTGAGCAACGAAATAGCCTTCAAAGAAAGAAGTAAATTTGATCAAATTAGGAGAATTTAAGAAAAGGTGACGAAAGCGCAGGGATATCCGTACTACGAAGTCAATCTTTCCTCTTGGGCCGATTAAACCGGAACATCGTAGACATGATACAAAGAAGATGAAGCAGAAGTCTTTTATGGACCTTTTATGGACTTTTTTTAAAAAGCCTAAGCTTGCAATACGCGGCAAAACGGGATTTAATAGATAAACTTCCAACAACGACCGAAGAGTTGCTAAAAATTTTAGATTTTGTTTACAAATGAGTCTTGTCTGTTAGGAACTTCAGCACCAATTACTTACTTACCGGTGATTCTGAAAACAACTCGGCATTTGGAAACTTCAGTGACAAGCTGTGGATACTAAATTCCTCGGAGAATACTACTTTCAGCCACTTTTTGATGGTCGACATATTGGAACAAACTGAACAAATATTGCGCACTTTTCACGCAGCAAAGCATTTAAGCAATGAAGCGTCAAAAAGCGCTATGCAGATTTGAGCGGGAGTTAACGGTGGGGCGCGTTTGATGAAGTAAATAATAAAGAAATGTTAAACGCCTCAGTGAATTTAACAGAGAATGTGTCAAGAAATCGCTACCAGAATATTAATAAGGAAAGTTTGTACGAGTGATTGAGATCAACAATTGCAATAGCCTCTACTCGGAACTCAAAACGAGTCATTTTATCTCAAATTGAGGAAATATAACTTAATTACAAACACTTCTAAAAATGAAAAAGCCTTCTTTTCTTTTGCCGCGAGCAAGCTTTTAGCGTTGTTTTAAATACCCTTAAAATACTCAAGCTTGAATGAACATTCAATTCTCATTGTTTTCGCTTGAAAGAAAGGGATCGATTCCCGCCTAAAAGCGATTTATGTAGATTTGCATTTCTCTTAGACCATTCTTTTGTTCAGTTGGTATCTTGTTGTTGACGTCTGAGGACCTTCGTCAGAGTAAGTATGGGCCGTTGCTGTAAGGCCCTCGGCGAGGAATGTAGCATTAGGAAGCTTGGATTACGATATCACGACTCCAGGGCCTTTACCGATGCCCCGGTAAGTGTGTTGTTAACCGCTAGTCCTGTTATAAGCCATGCCGATAAGTGAAATACTTTCACGCGCCAAACAGATGAGTTTTCACAACACGCTGAAGCATTGCGGAATCTTAAGGCACGAATTCGAATTATAACAGTAATTTCTCTCTGCCCTAGTTCGGGAACGTGTTATCTGTATAGCTTAAATCGCAAGTTATACAAGTCTGCGTTCTGTTGGTAGAAATGTTTCTTCTCTTCGAATACCATTTAAATCAACATTTAAATTATATTCCTCTGCTTATTAATTAACCGCCTAAATTTCGTTGCAGGAAGGAAGTGAGCTTTAAAAGTTATATTTTAATTTTCAACTGAGCAGGCCAGACCCCAGCTAAGAATAGAACTAGAGACTTGTCTCCGAACGATGGTAGATGTGAATAAAAATGAACTTGTTTTCGTTGTTTCGTGGTAAGCATATCAAAGGTTGCCTCTTAGACAGGTCGGAGGATTTGCATACATAATAATAATTATGACTAGAATTTTTAATTACGCCTTTAAAAAAGTCAGCAAAAGAGTTAGTGGCTCAATAAAACTGCAATGATTTGACAGAGGCTTTTCGGCAAACTTTTGTTTTTCAGAAGCGAAATGAGAACAACAGCGCAACAGATTGATCAAAGTTTTCAACTTTTTGACTATAAAAAGCGCGCTAATCATATTCAGTTATATCGTTTACTCGATGGTTGGATGGTTATGAAGAATAAATCTTTTATGTTTCATTTAAGCCTTCAAGTAAACGACTTGTTGTTTTAAAAAGGACCGAAGACAGCGAAAGGTTTATTTGCTTAGCTTATAAGCTTCGCGAAGATTCGAGAATCAACGACTGAAGTTTCCAATCATGCTTTAGTATATATAGCTGCGTCGACAAAATGAAAAAAAGAACTTTTTTTGAGTGTTTTTTTCATCATCCAAAATTATGGCCGGTTTAACCGTATCATAACAAACACCATTCTGTAGTATTTGTGATGAAGAACGTTAGCTGTGTAATTTGCAAAGTATTTACTTATTTTTTTAAGTTGATTATACTAAGAAATGCTTCAATATTGAGTTGTATCGATGTCCCGTAATCTGGTCTGCTTCAATAACCACCCCTGTTGCACTGTGAACAAGTGAGGCTGTCTTTCCACAACATCTTATTCTATTTTTTTCTTGTCAATACAGGGCCTGCCACGACCACTGTTCGCTTTCCTTCGCTTATTTTACGCTGCACTATCCATTGGTCACCTGGTTTGGATTGGCTTAGATCAACCGACAGGGGGCTGGATCATTCACTTGGGAAACTGGAGCCTAGCGGTGACCGCGTTGTATTTTCTGGTTGGCTCGCTGACCGCATTCCATCGCTCGATGTGCGGATCCAAAGAGAGTGACCAGTATGACAGAATCACCCAAGATAGCAGTGACCCGTTGAATTCCAATTCCTGCGCTTTAAAACCAGACGAGAACGACGACAGCCTACCTCCAACTACAAACCATCTCTCTTGGCACCACGAGGTCCTGTGGGTGTTACACACCCTCGCCGCAGACAGCTCCTTCGTCTGTATGATCGCTTACTTTGCGTTATTCTTTAAAGTGCGTTACACCTTTCTTGGGATCCTGGACGTTCCAAAGCATGTCCTTCATCTTGTTCTCATGATTGTGGACACACTGGCCAGTCACATCCCCGTGAGGCTTTTTCACGTCATGTACGCCTACATGTTCGGTGCCGCGTACGTTGTTTTCACCATAGTGTTTATTTTAACGGAAGTGAAGATTGATCTCAATTTAAATCCAGTATTTTACCCCTCGCTGGAGTCTGGTGACGAGCCGCTCATTTACACAGCTTACCTATCGATATTCTTGATTGTTGGTTTTCCTGTGGCACAATTATTTTTCTTTCTTCTACACAAATTCAGATCTTGGCTTATTTCAAGGTGATTTGGGAATCATTTATGAAATAAACTCAAAGTAAAAAAACGCAGCGTGTGGAATTCGTTAAGGAAACTCAGTTTGAGGCTTTGTTAATACAATTGTAAATAAAACGTTCTAACTTTAAAACGTTGGGTGAACAAAACTAATGTATGGCTCCTGGAGAAACGTTTTCTACAGCATGGGCTCATAACGCTCGAAATATTTATTTCAGCTAACGGTTCATTCACCATTACAGTGTTTTTCAACGAAGTCTTGTAAAACCAAAAGCAAAATAATTATCCCTGGCCAATCTCAAAGGTCACACGGAGATATCCCACTGGACCAATCAAAAAATCGAAGTTAATACAAGTAGTCGACGTAAAGCGCGGGAAAACATGTCCGCGCCACTAACGATTGCTTTCTCTTTTACTTCTGATTGGTTGAGAAAGTGGCGCGTTTTTGTTTTTTCTTTTTTTTCAGTAAGCTTAGTAGAGCGGTTTTCAATGAAATGTCGAAAGTAATCAATTACTTTGGTCTTAGTTTTGGTTTTACCACGGTTTGTGATTGGCTGAGTAGTGTATAATAAATTGGCAATTGAAAACAATTGTAGTAAATGCGAATTACTTTTGACACTCAGTGAAAATCGTCTTTTTAATAACTATATAACAAAATAGTCTAAATGAGGTCTCAAGGTACGTGACATTAGTCAAAGTAGTTTATAAAGCCATGTGCTCTCTGAACTAAAAAACGTTGAGTTTGAACTAGTTTGTAGTCGAGCTCTTCACACCTGTTTAACCTAACATTTAAAGTTTTGGTATAAAGTAATTATGAGTGGGATATCAGACAATTACAGAATTATAACTGTCAATACTGGTAGGTGTTTGTATGCGTTTTGTTTGCATAGTGATAAAGTCAATTTTCAACGGATACAAAAAAAAAAAAAAAAAAAAAAAAAANGCCCGAAGCCAATCGCTTTGAAAAATGTTTCGCAAGGGCATTTTGGTTGATTGGAACAAATTGTTTCCATTTAAGTAGAAAAAAAGTAGGGTGAACAAACGGAAAAAAAAAAAAAAAAAAAAAGAAGAGATCTGTGTAAAGGTGCAAAATGTTTATGGATAAAGACGGGCTTATCTTGCTCCAAAAGGTGCAGGCCCTTTTAGTCACACTTTGGAACATAAAAAGGGGGACTGGACCCCCTTCCCCACGAAACCCTTCCCCGAGATAAGACATTGGTCTCACTGTCGTCTACCACCTCCTCCTCCCCAACCCACCCTTCAATTGAGTGAATGATCATAACGATGCCACCAAGATGAAGTTGTCTCTTTTTATTTATATATCTTTAAACGCTTTTCCACAAACATCATACTGACTTGAGTAAGGATTCTTCTAAACGCTTCACTTAAATTACTACAATAGTTACAAACAGGCTAACAATAAGAATTTGTAAACGAATCAAAATGCACTACTGAGGTGGGATTAGTTTCATGTTGAAAACTGAAGCATTTTATTTTTCGCTTGAATACATTTTTCAGTTAAAGGTTTCCCAGAAAAACTAATCAAACACTGTAATTTCCTCCTTGAAGAATCAAACCTAACAATTCTCGAATGAGATTGGCTGATAACACACTCGATGTCTTCATTGAAATGGAGCGTGAACACCCATAAGGGTTTCGTCTTGTGATTGAATAATTTCACACTCAAACGAATTTTTGTCCTTTGTTCTGATGGGAGATTTTCAGTTGCTTTGCCTACACTTCTTCAAATTTTGTGACAGATATGATTAATCGGTAACCGGATTTTGTCCTCCAATTCAACCTTTTGCCAACAGCTTTAACAAGACTAAGCCGAGTTGTTCAGTAACCGATTTTCCACTAATCCACAAGAAAACGCTAACCAACGTTTCAATTTCTCTTGTATAAAAGGATTTCTTTTAATGCTAATGCTCTGTGGAGTTTGAAATTCGTTGCCATCTGGTGAACTGTAGTAAAATAAACATTATTTTAACTGAAAAGTCTCAAAAGTTCTTAAACCGCGATAGAAGTAAATTAATTACCTTGATCGTGGTTTTCAGTTGGAGTACGATTTCAAACCAATTTGTCCAGTTACCATCAAAATAAATTTGTATAAGCAAGCCTACATTACTGATAAACCGCAAAAAATATATATCTAACCTTAAAGGTCCCTTACTTGATAGCAATGCAAATACAGAGCTCTTTTGATAATTCTAATTTCACAAGTGCCTACAACAAACACGTTACTCTCACAGTACGGACACTGGAGCCGCAACACATAACATTTCTTTGTCTATATATTTTTTGGTGACTATAAAATGAAGCCTTTTTATATCTTATGTAAAAGATCAGGATGTACGATGGCTAATCCTTTACATAATATGAAAAGTCCTCATTCTAGTGCCACAAAAAAAGTAACAAAAAAGTTTCAAGTGTTCATGGCTCGAGTGTCCTCACAGTCAACTTGTTCAGAATTGTACAGAACCAACAAGAAGTCCACAATCTACTATGTGAGGTTGTTAAGTTACAAACCACAAGTAAATGACAGTTGACTGACTTGATCGCTTATAAATACCTTGACCCATTAGAAACTGATCTTGAAATGTCAAACAAAATTAGCTGTTTACAATATTTAATGTATAAAAACTCTACGTTTCCAACTCAGCAAGGTCACTTGGAAAGTTCATTTGAGAGCCAATCGAGTCCTTCGTACAGGCCGGTTCCCTCAGTGGCGCATGCTGCTTGCACATACCACTAATGAGAAAATAAAAGGGAAAATATTAAAACAAATTCGCAACCTTTAAGCTAGTCAATGAGTAAGCTCAACAGTGTAAAAGTCATTTCCTGTGATTGGTTACTTTTCACGCTGTGGAAGTCACATGAACATCATGTTGTCCTAATTTATTATAATTATTATTACATTTATTAATTCATGTACATACACGGGATTCATGCTGGTTCCTTTCTCATAGAACATGCGCAAAACATTTGTAGATGAAATAGAACTCCTAAAAATGATTGTTCGTTTTCCTGTTGGGCCTTTCCAAAGGGACTTTGGGTCCTAATTACGGTTTTGTATCATTTTCAAAGCCTTTCATGTTTCTTTGACCATGCCAAATTCTGTGGCTCAATAAAAATGGCAAGTTCTTCTGGGAAACTTTAAACATTCATCATGAACTGAAATAACTTCCCAAATACAATTCCGGAAATGTTTTTGCACATGAAAAACAACTACAAATCTCTCTACCGAAACATGACCATGTAACAGCCACATCTTATGCTGTAGGCAGAGACAAATGTACACCAGAGAATGGACTATATCAGACATAAAACCTGTGGAGGCATGGTCATCTCTTGATTAATGTGCTTGAGTCTGGATCGGGCGGTCAGGGTTGGAGGCCTGGTTGGGGACATTGTTGCAGTCTTAGGCAAGACACTTTACTCTTACAGTGCCTCTCTCCACCCAGGTGTATAAATGGGTACCCAAATAGTTAGTGCTGGGGGGTAAACCTGTGAGGGACTAGCATCCCATCTAGGTATGGGATAAAAATAATCCTAGTTGTATCATGCAACAGAAACTGCCGACAGCCACCAGCATGCTGGGCCACCTGGCCTTGTATGCAGACTTTATCAGATATAAAACCCATTCATGGATTCAGGCTACGAACCCTGTGATCCAAATCTAGCATTTCTCACCTTTCTGCTTTTAATGTTGTGAAGTCCTAATTTGTCTGTTAATTCGCTGACTGACATGGCATTTGGTAAATCCTGCTTGTTTGCAAACACCAGTAGATAAGCGTCACTCAGTTCCTCTTCTTGAAGCTGTAAGTTGCAAATTAGCATTTTGTAATATTGTTTAATGAAACTTCCTTAGACATCGTGGGAAACATGATACATGGGAAAATACAGAATACACGTGTGAACAAACAACTTGTGTTACAAAATCCACGAAAAAAAATTTTACAGACAAAAATTATTTGCAGGCTTGCATTATGTAATTGTTAGGGAAATCATCAAGATCCATGAATAATTAGGGTTAAGAGACAAAGGATTTCATTTTAACCTGAATTTCATTTTGACCTACAACATGTATGTGCATTTAATATGCGGGTACGGCCATCCACATATGTGTTTATACAAAAAAATGTGCATATCAATTGAGTGTATGCACAGTTTGCTTTCAGATGTCAAAGCTTCTTCTGAATAACTGGCAACATGACTTACCATTTTGTGCAGTTCATCGTTGGCTTCTCTTATTCTTTCCTTATCATTACTGTCAACAACAAATATCAAACCCTAGGAGACAGATAAAAAACAGTGATAAACAAAACAGCAACATAAACATCAAACACATGTGCGCAAAACTAAAATCAAAACTGTTAGCATTGGTGTGATCACATCAATATGCTAGAAATGTAATTGAGGATTGATTTTATATGATTGATTATGCCAGGATATACACACGTTAATTTTATGCCTTACAATGTACACAGTACCCTGTGAAATAAAGATTCCCTTCTCTTTCTAGTCAAGTAGAGACGAGAGAGAACCTCTGCTCATACCTGCCAGATCCTTTGATGGGCGGCCATCAAAAATCAGGCAAATAACGAATTTATATACTGGTTTTCAACAAGTTTTTAAAATATATACCATAGAATTCTGAAAGCAATGGGGGCTGTTACTTTCGGATTTAGCAGGCAAAAGGGTAGCCGTTACTTTCGGGTAGCCCTTACTTATGGGTAGCCCTAACTTTCAGATGGTTAAAATACGTTTGTATGGTAAGTAAACAGTCGCTTCAGACAAAGCAGACACATAACACATGAATTTAAAAGTTCCATTTATGTATGTTCTTAACTACCCACATAAACAAAGCAGACTGTATAAACAAAAAAAGGCCCTAAACGTTGGAACTGTAGGGCAAAAGTGTAATGGTCGCAATATACATGTATCACAGTACATCTGATTACGTTACAGTACATCATTTGACTCTGCTGCTAGACAAATACAGCTCATAAATAATAGTTTCAAGAAAACTTCAGTTTGAAATAAAATCACAAATAACTCTTTAAGTCAGTGTTCAGTCTTGTAGTCAGGATGTTCCATCTACATTGCACTTGAGAGCAGAGACTTTCTCTTTAGTGACTTCTTCAAAGGGCCGTTACTTTTGGGTGGGCCATTATTTTTGGGGGGACTGTTACTGTCGGAATTCTATGGTACATGACAAATAGGGCTCAAAACATATTGGACTACACGTAACTTTCCTGCTCAGTTCTTTGTAGAATGAAATTCTGTAGTTTTTGTGATTAACAAAAAAACAGGGATTTGGACAATTTGTTGTGAAATGAAAATAGCTGTACATAACATTTTGTATGACAAAGCACAGCATGTGATGTGCAGGTCATGTAGTTTGTACATACACAATCGGGAATTGAGCAGCTGTAAGCAGAGGTTCTTAAGCCTTTCATCTCTCTCCGAACAGAAAGAGAAGGGAACTGTCTTGCAGGGTGGACTTGTAATTGCAAGAGAACAAAACATTCACCTGTGTGTTTGTGAAGTAGTGTCTCCACAGTGGTCGAATTTTGTCCTGGCCACCAACATCCCAAACAGTAAACGAGATATTCTTGTACTCCACTGTCTCAACATTGAAGCCTGGTAAAAAGGGTAAAATAGATGGAATTTTCTTAAAATACGGTATAAGTGAGTAGTGGCCCACTATACGACAATCTGTCTTTTATTATAACAGAGGGAAGAGAAAATATTAACACTGAACCACAGAATCATGTAAGTTTGGAAATCCAAATGTTTTACTATTGGCACTGCGCAACACATTAGATTCATCTGACTTACATGTATACAATTCTTTGTACAATACAGTTATTCAAACGTCTGTATTTTCATATGGGCCAAAGATTACAACACACACAATAACTTATCAGAAATTCCAGCAAGGTGGGGGGGAGGGGGGGATGGTGAATGGGCTCAAATACCAAAATTTTGATAAGAAAGTACAGTATAGAGGTGGATGGGAGGTTAACCCAATGAACCTTCAGTGGGGAGATGTATAGATACACTATCGGTGTACATATGACATTTGCAGACTGCAGACCGCAGACCGCAGAATGTTTGTTGTTTTAACTCATTGCATTCTCATGTATTCCCATTTCCATTATCCAGAGTTAACCATAAAAAGGATAACCTGAGCACTATTCAGGCTAACCTGGGTGACATTCTGGCTAACCAGCTATTTTGGCCCAAATGTAGTCTGCAGTCTGCCTTCTGCAAATGTCATACACCGATAAACTATGCATATGTACTTCTGTACTTTCTGTTCTTTCGATACATACATGTACTACTAAAACAAAATACATGACTGTTCATGTGTGTGCGTTGTTTCTTTGCTCTCGTTGATCTAAGTTATCTAAAGTATGGTACTTACCAATGGTAGGAATAGTAGTGACTATTTCTCCAAGTTTAAGTTTGTATAAAATGGTGGTTTTCCCAGCAGCATCAAGGCCAACTGTCAAATGCAAAAGGCAAAGTCTAATCAGTTACACATACCACTACATTGGGATTAAGGTGATTCCTCAGAATTGCACTGTGCATCCCGCACAATTTACGCCTCATTAGTGCATGCGCATGTGCCAGTGTGTGCGCGTACAAAACATAGGGATTTCCCTTAGGCTAAGCTCGACAGCGAAATAAATGCTCGTTTTTTCTTAAATAAGCATGGTGATTCCCACATTTAAATGCATGAATTGAAATTACACAAGGTTATCTACAATATATCTTGATTTGAAGAATAGTTTGAAATTCTGTTTAAAACTATATTGATTTTAATCCTGTAAAGAACAAGTCTATAGGTAGTGCTGGGTATGTGCACACACAGAGAATTCTTAAGTTTGTAGTAGAATCATAACTCCTGTCTAACTAACATGGTTGAAATTGTAAGTTCAAGGTCTATTTTGTTTAACTTCTCTAATAAATGTAATCCAATGAGTACTTTTCTTAGAATTTCTAGTGCCCCTTTCTGCTAACTAAGGTTAATTATTATATGGCTAGCTCCATGAGCGGGCAAGATGAATTAAATCATGCGCTGTGATTGGCTACCAGAGCAGGCAAGATGGAGCTATCTTGCCCGCTGGGGACTACCTGCCATGTCCTGCAAGAAAAATTTCCCCGAAAAGCCAAAAAAAAAAAAAATCATTTATTGACCAAGCTTGTTTGGTCAAGATGGCTTGATATTGGCCTCATTCTTTTTTTTGCGAGTTTATGGACCTCGAGTCCATCTCGGTCCATAAACACGTAAAAAAAGAACTTGGCCAATATCTAGCCATCTTGACCTCACACTTGGTCAATAACCCAAAGGTAATGACAACCTCATCGGTCGTAAAGTTGCTATAAAGGCCATCCATGTTGTGCAAAAATGAGCACGGTGACCCCTATATTTTAATGCATTTTCTGATATACATAATATAATTACCAAGTAGATGAAGTTTGAGAATTTGTTAATCCTAGCCTATATCCTATATCTCTTTATGCCACAAGGCACATAAGGCTTTGACATTCTCTTTCCAATTTGTTAATATTCTCTCTTTATTAAGTGGAATCACCTTAAATAACGCTAAAAAAAGGCCGGGTATTCGCCAGTTACACCTGTGCCAAAAACTACACTGTACACAAATTAAAGATACTACCATAAGCATTGAGGTTTACACTAGCCCTACATCCTCTGATTAGTGATAATTAAAGAAGTTGCCATTCTTGCTATGACAAATTTATAGACAAATTCATTGATTCTGAAATAATTACTTAAGCTTAAGTCTACATAATGCAGACTGTATTCAATCATACCTATTGACTGAAAGTAAGCTTTCACAATGTGTAATTGTAAATAAAAAAGACACCACAGTTATGAACTTAAGAGAGATACACCTATCTGTCGACTCAACCGATTTTGCTACAAGTAGACAATCACACAGTCTAGAATACAGGCAAAAATAAAGTTAATTGCGTGGCTATATTGCCTTAGTGCATTTGAGGAACTCTTTCGATTGAGATTCCACTGGACTACAACAAAATTATACGGTAAAAGATGAAGGTTTTACGAGCAATTTAGAGCAATCTTACCCATCAATATCCTCATATTTGTCTTGCCAAAGAGCCGGTTGAACAAACTTGATATAGTGAGTCCCATGGTCGTGTAAAAATCGGCAAAAGATCACGGCAAAGACCTTTTTATTTTCGCGTGGAATCAATGACAAGAACTAGGCCACGTCAAGAGTTGTTGTGCGCTTGCGTAACCCAGAGAATTTCCGCTGATACCCAGGACTCCGGCGTATAAATCCAAGATGGCGGCCAGGCGCAAGCTGAGCTGCGTAGTTTGCTCTATCCACCTAATCGAGCCTATGAAGACCATGTATAATTTTATCAGAAAGACTAACCACAGGGTGCATGGTTTTAAATTGGCTCCTACGACTTACAACGAATCAAACTGGTCCGAATTGAAGGGGCAAGTGTGCAAGACTTACCAAGACTTGTCTCGCTGCCGTTCGCATTGCCTAGTCCCTGTGCAACACGATCTTCTCCTCAAATGAAGTATTATCATCATTTGTCATATACGTGCAAATTAAGTATAATCCTTCATTGCAAATGACCGTGATGTCCAAAGTAGACTGGATTCTCCATTTACTAAATGGCGGACGAAGACGCCGCGAGTTTGGATGAGCTCATTGAACAAGCAGAAGCCCTTTTTGAACAGGAGAAGCCACGGAAAAGGAAAGCAGGAGAATCCGAGTTCGAGTTTTATCGAGATTCGGTCTCTGGGCATCGAATAAACACGTACAAATATCGTCCGCGTTCTCGAAAGCCATCAGAGTTTTCAAAATCAGCGACTTACAGCAGTTTTGAAGGTTTGGTTGTCTTTTTGTATCGGTAGGCTTTAATTTTGTACATTCTTCGGCTCTTTTTTAGCATATTAGTGAGGTAAAAGCATTAAGCTTTATTCGAGCATTTTAGTGGCGGTTTCGCTCTAAAATTAAGAACTTATTAAGCATAATTATTTTTTTCAAAAAAGATTAAGCTAGATTGTAAAATACTGGGCCAATCATTTGCATCTCATTCAATTTGAATGGTTCTTTTTGTTTCTACATGCTTCGTTCTTAGAAGAGAGTCAAATACATGTATCAAGTCGTCGTTATTAAACGCATGATATGAGCTTAAATAAACTATATCCTCTTAGAATATTTATCATTAGCGCTTCCCTTCATTTTGATGAACCGAGGGCCCTCTTTTGATGCAAGTTTAAGCGATGAAGAAACTGTTGAGTTTTCTGAGGAAGGCACCAGTAATAGTGCACAAGGTGGGTTGAAGGATTATACTTCATTTGTACGTATATGACAAATGATGATTATACTTCATTTGAGTAGGAGATCGTGTTGCCCCGTGAACACGTCACTTGTAAGGACTAATTTACGACATTTTGGTTGGAGTGTTAAGGAATTCATTAAAAACATAATATATAGGAGCAGTTTGAAACTGGTTTGAGTCAAACAAGTTTCCCATTTTCTTTTTTTTATTTATTTAGAAAAGGAAACAAATGGGGAAAACGTGGGAAAAAGTTGATGCATCAACGAATTCAAGATGGCGGCGGTGGATGGGTGGAACGCAGAAGAATATGGGTGGAACGCAGAAGAATATGGGTGGAAAAAGTCGACAATTTGAATGGAATTACAGCTGTGCATACAGCGTTTTCAAGCTTTGCCAGCCGTTTTGATCTCAGTAGAGGAAGAGGAGGAATTTTTCCACACTGCTTTAACACAAGACAAAATCAAAGCTATGTTGCATTATATACGTGATTGGTTGAATTTCTGGAGAAAAAAACCATTGTTAACTGACCGTAGACCATGTCCAAAGAGCGGGGTTCCATTGTATAAAGAAATCAATGGCGCATACGACTACAATTTCAAAGCCAAGCAAATGAAGTGTAGCAGTCAAGACGTGAACTTTTTGCGTTAAAATTTAAATCTATTTATGGACTTTTTAAAATGCAGAAATCTATCCACTACAACGTTTATGGTTCTGTCAATTCGAAGCCTGCCCATCCCGCCCGGGTATTGGACGGGCATTTGACATTTTCTTTTCATAAGGTGGCAAATGCCCCACCGTGGAGAAGCTGGTCCATACAAAATCCCCTCGGCGGGGCCGTGAGAACAATGCAAATACCCCATATTAAAAGTTAAAGTTCAACTCTTGACATTGCCGTGTACTCATGGCCGCTAACGTGAAAATGCATCCTCGGTTAATTGGTATTGTAATCTTGTTATAGTTTGATTATGACTGTTACTGAAATTGATTCGAACATGGTCAAGAGTCAGGCCTGGTCTGCAAACGGATCTCCACAAAGACAAAGGCAGCGTCGATCCACACCACCGGCGGAGAAATTTGAAAACGCAGCTTTATTTCTACGGTTTACGTACGCCCACTGCCGCTCTAATCCGTCACGAAAACAAAGCTTATCGAAAACGCTTTTCAAACCGAAGGAATTTGAAAACGCCGCGCAGTTTGCGTTTTCGTGTGGACGGAAAACATTTTGAAAAAGGAGCTTTTTGAAAAGGATGGAGTCACGATTATCATTTGATTTCCCTATCCAAGTTTTTCTCAAACACAAATCCAAAATAATTAACTGGTGATTGTTATACGTTTTTAAATTCCTCTGGCGTAGTGTGGGTGGAAAACATTTGGTGCATTTTCAGAGTGAAACCACCGTTTTCAAATTCCTCCGGCGTAGTACTGTGGACGGGACCAAAAACAAACTTGCAAAGACGATCCTTGCAAAGAAAACTCATTGAAAGGCCTATCCCTGTGTGTTTTATGTAATAAGCTTATGTTTTTATATGATCGTTGTCTATGGAGTTCGCCATCGCTTCTCGACTCAATTTTCTCGTACGAGGTTGCCGGTATGGGGGTGGCAGGGCACTGACGAGCTAGCTTTGAGTGGATTATGTCAGAAAGATAATTTACAACTAAGTTCTTTACGTGGGGTTAATTTCTCTGATGTTTAATAAAGCAGGCTTCCGTTTTCACAAAGCACTGATGTATAATTCTTTTTTTTTTTTTTCTTTTTGACTAAATTGTCAAATGTCCCACCTCCGGGCAGCCTTTAGCGAGCAAATGCCCTATGAAGGGGACCGACAAGCTGTCAAATGCGTGTGCATTGCCCGGGAGTATGGGGGTATGGACGGGCTTGGAATCGACAGAGCCGTCATATGCACAATCTTTTACACTGTCCACAGCCTCTCTACTTTTCAATGCACGCGAAAAAAAAAAAAAAAAAAAAANCCATAGTTCACAACCTCTCTATTTTTCAACGCACACGAAAGAAAAAGCGAGCGAAGCGCGCGAGCGCCAAGCACAAGGGGGTGGGGCAGGGTGGCGAGCGAAAAGACTGGGTGGGGGTGGGGAGGTGAGCAAGTCTCCCGTTTTACGCTGGCGTTCAGTCAGTCGCGCGATTTTCTCCGCGCGTTCAACGATCGAATGAGAATGCGAGAAAATTAAACAGAGGGCTGTGAACACTGAATTGTCTACAATCTGTTATTCTGTGCCTCTATCTCTAGTGGCTGAGCACAGCACTCTTTTCTTACTGAGAAGTTCGCACTCGTTAAAACCTTTGCCACCCTGACTGGCTTGAAATCGAGTCTTTTCTTAACTTTAATCACGAGGCTTAGTTTTGGCTCTTTCAGCATGGTTAATCATGTACGGCTTCGTCACTATTTCAAACACCTTATGAGGCTTATATCCCAATCTAAGTTTATATGGTGAAGACCGATGGTTAACCTAAGATAAGAGCGACCATTAAAATACAGCCGACTCTCCACCTAAGCCCCCTAAGTCATGTTTTCGAGATGCACATTATACCTTCTATCTCTTGAGAAGGACACTGCTAAAATATGCCCCTCCTCAACCCTCTCCCACTTGTTTGTTTCCCTTTGGAGTCCGTATTTTAAAAGAGGTCCCAGTCATGGGGAAAAAAAGATTGCGTGACGAGCTCGAAGGTCTGCATGACGCCCTTTCCTAAGCCTGCGCGTTGTCGACCCAGCAGCCCTCGCCTCAAAAGTTTGAGCCTGCGGTCCTTCATTTTGAAAAAAATATGCTCGGAAGTCCGAATATTCTCTGCGCAGACCAGGACAGACAAATATGGCGCTCTTTGGAACCTTTCTACGGACCCCAAGCAAGGTAAATCCTTTCACACCTGCCAACAATACACGTCTAGACTCTTGCTTGATTTGCACTTCTTCATCGTAGGGTGTCCTTTCTTCGATTTGTCGAAATGCTTTCAGCACAACTCCTCGCGTCGCTGCCACGGTGAGTGCAAATATCCCGGGAAATATCATGTTTTGCAAGACAGTGTTTTGGAAACATTAAACTAACTTCTTCAATCGTAGCGTTTATTTGGATTACTTTATGCTTATGTACTACTTGTGCAATTTTGGGTAGCTAAGCTTAGGTAATCAAAGACGATAATCAATCTGGATCGATCTTGAATGCATGCACTATGTTTAGTACATGCCTTCAAATGTTCAGTAGTATCTGATCTGGCGCTATCATTAACCAAAACCTGGTTACTGATCAATCTAATATTATGTACTTTTTTTCTCGAAGGTAAACCCGATTATTTGAAAAGTAGATTCGTATAATCTTTGCCACAAGCAGCCACCATTTGCCTTATGATTTCCAACCTTTACACTTGTGCTCCAAACATGATACAAGGCAAAAGTAAGAAAGGCCAGATTTTACAATACACAGCAACTCTAAAAGCACCAGTATTACCATGATCTGCAGCCCAATGGTAAATGAGAATAAAAGAACAAGTTTCCTGCAGTATCACACAAAGATATTCACAAACAAAACAAAAGTACCTGTTAATGTGGCCAGATTTTTGTGGCCTGTTGGTGACTGGATTAATGAGGTTCCACATGACTGTAGTTTTATAGTTACCAGAAAGTGATACAATGATTTTTATTTTTTACCAGCACTATCAGCTTATTGTTCTGATAAAACTGAATACAATAATGTTGTGACTCTCACAGTTCTTTTATTATTATCCTGTGATTGTAAGTTCTATTTTTTTTATAACAGATGACTATTCGAGATGCTTTAAACTCTGCTATGGAGGAAGAGATTAAGAGAGATGACCGCGTCTTCTTGTTGGGTGAAGAAGTTGCCATGTATGATGGAGCTTACAAGGTGATTATTTAAAACCACGTTATTTGACAGCTTGTGTTAACGCCCATGTTTCCTTGATACGCTTTGTCAGCAGGTCAATAATTGTTGTTGGTTTCAAAGCTGACTTGCTCCCAATTTATCAAGGCTTCATACAGTGCACGTATATCACAGAGGTTGTGTGGTGCAGTGGCCTAACATTTAGCTTGCTGGACTCTGTATTGAGTGGTCCAGGTGTGAGCCCAGGCTAGGGTCATTGTTCTTTGGCAAGACACTTTGCTCTCACAGTGCAATGCCCCTGCTGCAAACCTAAGCTCAAGCCACGCAAACTCAGCAGCCGACAACAAACCCTGTCCCACCCCGGCAGTGCCACCACCACATGCCCTAGAAAACCACCTCAGGTTGTCGCAGATCCACCACCTATGCCTGTGAGCCCACCAGCTTCAACTTCTCTTGCAACCGAACTCCCACCCAAGAAACCACCATTAGCCCTGTGGCAACTGATGGATTACAACAAGAAAGGCCTTAAAGAATGAATAATGAACATTGAACGGTGAACTGTGAACATTGAACACTGAACAATGAACATTGATCAACCAACACTTTGCTCCTGTTATATTATGTTAAATTAACTGTAGTCAGTCTTTATTGCCCCCTCTTTCTAGATTTACGTCGTTATCCAAATGAGGAACACTAAAGGCTTGGGGGGGAGATAGAGCATAAAAGGTTAATTTACCCAACCTCAGAGATAGGGACCTGGGAATGAGTCTATCACTCTGTGTTGTTTGACATTATATGCGTTTAGTTCTCTCATCATTCAGTGTTGAGAATTGGAGATTAAACATGTTCTTGTGAAATGGATAGACTCTTATCTATCAATCTCTTAACCCAGGTGTATTATAGATGGGTTCTGGCAAATAGGCCCTTTGCACGATCCAGTCACATGCTACAGAATTAATTATGCTGGGACACAAGCTACACAGTGGGACTTTCGAAACAAAGGAAAGCCAGGCTGGACTGGCCGGTACGAGTTCCTTTGTCTTGGAAGCCCCACTGTGTAGCTTGCGTCCCAGCATAATGAATTCCATACCATGTGACCGGGTCGTTCTAAGGGCCTATTGCAAGCTTTCTTGTAAGTAGCATTTTATAGACTAGCATCTCATCTGGGGGGAGTAGTAAACTCCTAGCTGTCGCATGGTGCAGAAACTAGTATACATGCAGTGTTAAGCATTGAGAGCTACATGTCTGCATGAGCTAGTTGGGTTAAAAAGGCTTTTCGTACCTACACGTATCACAGGAGTCTGGGGTTTGAACCCTGTTTATGTGACAACCTTGTTAGCTAACTACAGCCATGTTCATGTACATGTATCTTGACAGGTAAGCAAAGGGTTGTGGAAAAAGTTTGGCGACAAGAGAGTGATTGACACACCTATTAGTGAGGTAAGCTGGCAATGATATTACATACTTTGTTGTTTATGGGTAAGGATCAGGGAATTTGTAAAGATGTTTAATTTTGATGTGGTCCAGGTTTTCTCTAACTCAGTCAAATTCATTGCAGATGGGTTTTGCTGGTATTGCAGTAGGTGCAGCTATGGTAAGAAGCCCTCTGATTTTTTATCTTAGTTTGATTTAATACTGTTAATTTCAAAACTGATTACACTCAATCATGACTAAATTTTGACAAAGGTGCGCAAACAATAAATAAAGTAGCCAGGGAATCATAGGCGTTTTCTTTGACAATCTGCTTTTAAAGAAATACTCATAAACATATATGGCAAATGTGTCATTGCCATTCCAGCTGGGGATAGGTGTATCATTTTTCAAATTTCTTTTGTAGCCAATTCCCTTGATTACCCCACCACCCACTGCTTCGTTGATTCCCTTGGACTTGCGCCAATTTGCGTGTGGCCAGAATGTGAAAAAAGCTCTTTGTTTGGGAATGCTTGCTACACAGGCTATAAATCATCAGAAGTAGCTGGGACTCTAACTCATTAAAGCCCAGGAAAATACTGGCCCCATGCAGTTTGTAGTGACAGCCCTGGTGAATCATGTACAATTCCTGTTACACAAGAAAAATGCCAAAACCATTGGCTTCTGGGGTTTTCCTCTTTTTCATTGTGGTTGAAATGCATTTTTGGTTGGATAAATATGTTATATTTTGCACACCAGTTAACTTTTAATCACATGGAAAAGAACTGATTCTAATAATTGATTGCAATTGTTATATTTAAGCAATCTGCCTTCATACCATTTTAGGCTGGTCTAAGACCCATCTGTGAATTCATGACTTTCAATTTTGCAATGCAAGCTATTGATCAGGTAAGGAAGCGTTGCATGTAATTTAGTTTTATGTGATTGAAACAGTTTATATGACTGTTTAGCCATATGGATAATAACTCGCTTATATGTAACTGCCTTCAAACATCTTAAATTGAGAAAAACCCTCTGTAAACTTCAGCATGCTAATTGGAGCTCATCTTTGTCAGTACGGCAAGGGTTCTATCAAGGGCTGGGCACCAGGCAAATTGATCGGCTGCAAGGATGATGTTGCCCACCTGGTTTGACCATCTAGAGGAACGTTTTTCCTATAAATAGGTTCATTTCAAAACGATTAGCCCGCCTGTGAAAACCAGTTGCCCTCTTGCTGAAATTGTTACATGTATGTTTATGCACATTGCATATTACAGTACATGCTAATTAGCAGTAAACTGTTATTTGTCTTCAAACTTGTACCTTCTGCAACATTGACACTAAAGAAGGCAGAAGTTTCCACTGATTAGAAGCATGTTTGTAAAATTTAAAATTATAGTTGTACTATATGTGAAAAGAGTTTTGTATGTGAATATCTACAGGATATGAGACTTTTCTTTGCATTGCAGATAATAAATTCAGCGGCAAAAACATTCTACATGTCTGCCGGTCAGGTAATGCAATAATTGTCAATTTTGTTACTTTAGTATTGCATCAATATCTTTTTGCATTCATTATCACATCGTTGCAGAAATATATTTGGTAAGGAATTATTGTTATTTTTAAATTTTCAACAACATAGCACAGAATTGTATTTGTTGCAAGTAAATTGTTTCATTCACAGAAATGCAGATCAAATAATGTAAGTTAAATATATTTGGAGCCATGAATTCAACTTTCCTATTTTGCGATTTAAACTAGGTACCAGTCCCTATTGTATTTAGAGGTCCAAACGGTGCAGCAGCAGGAGTGGCTGCACAGCATTCACAATGTTATGCTGCTTGGTACGGTCACTGTCCTGGTCTCAAGGTAAGCAAAATAATACTGCAATGTGCAGTTTGAGAGTAAAATTCCTAGCCTAAGAACACAACACCGTGACCCAGTTAAGGATGGAACCAAGACCCCCTTTATCGTTAGTGCGTTTGACCTGCATAACCCTGCAGTGGACTAGCATCCCATCAGGGGGAGGGGGAGGGGGGTAGAAATATGAAAACATACAGCGGCCTGGTGCCTGATGGGCTACTTGGCTCATATGCAGACGACCCTTGTACACTAAACATTAGGCAAGGCAATGAGTGAGTGGTGATCTGTTTTTATGTTTTGTAACAATTTAGTATTTTCTTTCACCACCATCTGATTGTCTGCCTTTGTTGTACTTCAGGTGGTGTCTCCATATTCTGCTGAAGATGCCAAAGGTTTAATAAAAGCAGCTGTCAGAGATAATGATCCAGGTACACTGCATGAAATATTATTGTTACTACAATATTGTTGGAATAATTTAAAAAGTTGTGAAAAACTAAAAAAATGTCAACAAACAAACAAAATCTGCTAGCCTAACTGCAAAATCCCCCAGGCTTGGGCTATCAAATGTGACTTTTTTATGCTAAATATGAAGATTACAGCAATTTACAGCTGTAACCTTAAGTAGAAGGTCATGCTAGACAGCATGTTCCATATTGAGTTATTCTGATACTCCATAGAGTTTGTGACCTCACAAAATGTGTCCCTTAATGTGACAAATTTCCATTTTGGTGTTCCAGTGAACCTGGCTGCAAGTTATTTTATCTTATCTCATTTTACCAGCACTTTATTTTTTTGAATGAATTGGTGGTGAGGAGAAATTGTACTTTCTGGGGTGTTCTCCTAGGAACTTTGTTTAGCTAGGATTTTGCCTCTGTCTTTTATGATGATAAGATTAGGTGTGTACACCGACACAGACATTCGTCTGCCGTTTTTTTTTGTTTTGCATTGTTTTGTTTTGTTTTTTTTGTTTTTAATTCTTATTTTCTTTTTCTGTGCCTCGATCAATGAACAGAAATGTCTAATTGAATTTTACAGGCATACATTAATTTTATTTTGTGTCAATTGATGTGTTTGTGTTATTTTAGTTGTGGTTCTTGAAAATGAAGTCATGTATGGTGCCCAGTTTGAGATGTCAGATGAAGCAATGGACCCAGATTTTGTAATTCCCTTCGGCAAAGCAAAAGTTGAGAGAGCAGGTAATTCTTCTTTAGCCTTGGCTAAACATGGAAAGTAAAGCACAGAGTGACTCACTAAACATGTACATGCAGAGGAACTTAAGGCAAATCTCTCTACAATGTCCACCTGGAGACAGAGGGAAAATGGACACAGGGGTTTGTCTGGCCTACTTTGTCAGAATTTACCTCTTACCGCCACTTACTTTGTCTTTAGGGGGGGTGGTTATGGGAGGTAGGGGTGTAATATGACACCTGTGTTGTTCAGGGTTGCAAAATTTTTATTTAAAATGCCTATTGTAGCATATCTGTACATAACACAATCAAAATATATCAATACAGCAGAGATCAAACAGAAACAGAGACCAATGACGTGTGGATATATCAAGTTCCATGGTCTGTTACAATAAAAAATAACAATGGACAGGGTGCTTTATAAGCACCATTTGTCAGTCATTGATTAACGAGCCTTTGATGAGAAGTGATTTTGGCAGTTGGGATGCACTGTGTTTATTGGCTGTTGTGGTTGTGGAGTGTTTGCCATTGTAGAGAGGTTGTAAGTGTGGATAAATGGACCAGTCACTGGGACAATAAAAGGAGCCACTGTAGAGAGGTGGCTAGAAGTGGAGGTTCAACTTTATGTGAAATACAAAACCAGTTCAACCGTCACTGAATGAACATCACAGGTCTTGGAGCATAATTATTCTAACAGCATTAAATATGAAATAAGGCATATTGAATATATTCAGAACACAATATGTCATTCTTTTTGTCATTGTTCCACAGGAAGTCATATCACCATAGTGGCACACTCGAGATCCGTTCAGATTGCCTTGGATGCTGCCAAACAGTTAGAGGCAGAAGGTGTTGATTGTGAGGTAGGTCTCCTTGCCACCATTATAATAAACCAGCTTTCAATCCAAGAGAAAAAAAATCGAGTAGAGGTTAGCATTGCTATTTCAACAGAATTGCCCGAAATAAACAGAGAATTCAGCCAACATCCTGGGTTAATATACAGCTTAAAAGCCCTTGAATTTGAACATGTAAATTCAAGGTCTTGAAAGGTCTTTTTCAAACTCGTTAATAATTCATGAAGTTAAAACAAAAGAAATCACAAACGTGAAGGAGGTTTGTATACCCGGACTTAATTAGCATAGATTTTGACGATTTTACTTCTCCGTTTACTCTTTAGTTTTTGTTTCGATTGAGAAGATATAACAAACACTCGAGACAGTGTTTCATCGGCTATGCAAACACCTCGAATTTCGTCAAAAATACTCCGCTGCGCGTCGTATTTTCTAGGATAGAAAAACACTAAACCATAAAGGAACAAGGATGGTTAAGGATGGAGCAGATTAACATGGATTACAAATGACGAAGTTGAAAAATGTAGTCTGAACTTTTCAAGTACGCAAACCATGACGTAGCTCCTTAAATTCTTTTAATATGTAATATCAAAAATGAACGAAAAAAAGGTGTCCCAGTTCCTTTTGTACCCCGTGGAATTAGCAATCTTTTATTGTTTATATTCAGGTAGTCAATCTTCGTAGCATTCGTCCAATGGATGCGGAGTGTATTGGAAACTCCCTCAAGAAAACAAACCATTTGATCACAGTAGAAGGAGGCTGGCCTCATTTTGGAGTGGGGGCGGAAATTGCTGCTACTGTTATGGAAAGTTAGTTGATAGAAGTATACATGTATTTTTGTTTCCTTCTTAATCCTAGCAATGCGACCTAGTTCGAAATTGCAAAGAATCTAAAATTTCGTTTTGCAAAATAATGAAAAACAAAAACGAACTGTACCAACGAAAAGACGTACATTTCATCGTTTGAAAGCCTAAAAATTCAGAACATGTGTAGAGCTTAGTAATCTTTACAACATGAAAGCACTGCTCAATCAATTTTTTTAATGGTCCTACGCCAGGGTTTTATTTACAGACCTAAAAATTAGAACCGACCTAACTTAAAGTACTGCTCGATAGTTTTCAGTTGCTCTTCAGATGAATAGTTACACTAGGGTTTCCTTCAAAGAATTAGATGTCAAATTTAGAACCACCTTGTATATTTGTACAGCACCATATCATAGTGCTTCTTAGTAGCTTTCATTTGAATGGTCACATAATAGACTAAAAGTTAGAACCACCTTCTGCAGTGTAATAAACAGTACCACATGGAAGTACTGCTCAATAGCTTTCATTTGATTTGCCACACACTAGGGTTTTATCCACAGACTTAAAAAGTCAGTATCACCTTGTACAGCATAATACCAATTAATATAATTGTTTCTATTTCGTTCTTAGGTGATGCATTTGACTATCTTGATGCACCAATCTTCCGAGTTACAGGAGCTGACATTCCTATGCCGTACGCGCACCTCTTAGAAACAAACTCTGTCCCTCAAGTGCAAAATGTCGTCCTAACCGTCAAGAAATGTCTCAATCTAGCTTAACGTTATATCACCTGGGTTGACTAGAATAAGATTATTTTCAATTAAGTCATGAATGTAAATTGTTATCATATCATATTTTCAAGACATTTTTACTGGCCACTGTAAGTTCTTCAAAGGAAAGCCCTACGCGAATTGTAGGCGTGAAAAGTATTGTGACCGAACTCTTTTTCTGTTTGTTTTTACACACAATACACTTTGTAGTTTGTCGCCGGAGATAAACCCGGGAAGGGAGGAGATGAATGGAACACAAGATTGATTATGGCTTCATGCAACTAAGACTGCTTCGTTTTTATCGATTCTTAGATATTGTCCAATCAGGAAATAGGCCAAACACTTACGAGTTACACCGAGAATCGTCGGTAGTATGTAATAACGTAATTATATATAATGATACCTTATGAGGACATGTTTGCCAAACTTTATGGTCTTTTTAAGCCTCAGAAAATTTCATTTCTATTTGCAAAACTGTGTGGTATATCGTAGTTGTTAGTGAATCGTAGTGTCTCATAAAACCTTCAAAACTACAAATGTTATCAATGTTTGTGGCATTGAAAACCCCAGCATATTTGTAAATCTGTAGGGTATTTATACGGGAGAGTATAAGACAATATAATAAATGATTAAAAATGGCAATTTATTATTGTATCCAAGATCTGCGGGGTTTAGTTTGAACTTATGTGCATGATAGTGCTTTGTGTTTATAAAAATGCAGCGATTTCAACATGTTAGGAGCTCACCATTATTGAAAAATGGAATACAAAGCAAATCGTGAAACCGAAAACTTCAACGCCCCTCTACCACTCCGACCAGCCACAGCTCGCGTTGTTTCCACATCCATCATGGTGTGTTTATATGGTAGTCTAGTTTCTGTACGTTTGTTTCCATTTTTTATCTGAAAGTTTTTGCATAGCTACTGTGTTTATAAATAGATTGGCATATCCAGTGCAGAATCATCCTCTGAGCTCCGAGTTTGATTTGTTGTCGTGAATTCGAGTGGTAGCTGGACTGTTCAGCACCCACCGAGTTCGCACCCACATCGATTCAACTGGCGATCAAGTGCTTAAAATTTATATTTCTCTTAGGGCCTGATATTGAAGCAAAGTCAAACAAAACATCTTTATTTCTCGTTCGTTAATCCATTGAAGGTGAAGACGAACTCGAAATAGAAAGATTATAATGAGTTCAGAGGCGCAAACTCGGTGGGTGCGAACTCGATTGGGTGAGAAACATTCGAGTATATCGCGTGACATAACAAGTCATGCGCAGTCCCATGTCGAAGTGTGTTCCAGATATCGTTTCTCGTCGCTGCTGTAGTAGAGAGTTTTCAAATGGCGCTCTTGGTATAGAGAAAAAGATAATTCTAATTTCTAAATGGATTTTTTTTCTGATTCGTGTAGAATTCATCTGGACAAGGAGCCATAATCGGGGACGGAGACCGTAAGTCTCGGGATTCGCGCGCACCTATGATATGGGACAATTTTTCTATTTTTAGAACAAATTGCGCCATCC